TTCTGTTCTTTGAACTTGAACATTTCCAAGAGCTGTAAGATTTAGGAACTGTGATGAGTGTTACCTGAGAACACTGGCCATAGAGGAACAGGATTTGGGCCAGGAAGTCTTGATTAAGCCTGGTGAGAAGCTGCTCCTTGGGAGCATGGAGGGCCACAGCTCCATAGATCACGATGACATCAGTTTTGGTCAGTTTCTTTTTCCCAGAAAAAATATACTGCAGACCAGAAAATGGAGACATTTGATTAAAAAAAAAATTACCTAAGGAGTTTCTTTTTCTCTCATTTTTCCCCCCTCTAATCCTGTGGATCACTTTCAGGGCTAAGAGACTGGACCAAGATGATTAAAGTGAGTCTAAAACTGATGTACTCTTGCTTGTACAAATGTAAAGAGGCAGGACTACCATGGGACTCTCAGGCCATGGTAGAGGTAACTGAGAGAGGCTTTTTCCATTCAGGGGAAGCAGAGCATACATAATGGGAGTTATGCTGGAGGCCTGGGGAGCTGGAAGCAGGACAAATGCAGGACCTTCCAAGCAAGCACGAGTGACAGGAAAGTGGAGTAGACGTGTTACTTAGCTGACCGTCCGGCAGGGCCTGGGCTTACGTAATTTGGGTGTAGAATAAGGACCTGGGGATAGGAGTTGGGATAATATGGAAAAAGGATATTCACTGAGAAACCAGTATTGTTTTCCCTTGCAGTGACCAAAAGCTTTGGCCATGAATAGTGTATTTACCTTACATCGATTCATGAAAAACTTTTCCTGATCCTGGAATGTTTTAAGAACTTTTAAAACAATGTCCAAGTGGTTCTCGGCACAGTATCCTAAAATAGATGTTATTCCCTGAAATCAGAAAAGGTGTGAGATTTTGAGGTCAATCAGGCATTCATTCAACAGGTACGTGTTGAGTACCCGCCCATCATGTGGCAGACACTTTTCCGGTTTTTAGGGATACAGTGGTGAACAGAATACACCAAACTCTGTCCCAGTGGATATAGACCTGAGAGGAAGGACGGAGATGCAAAGAGGAAGTGAGCGAACACATAGATTCAGTAAAATGTAAATATATAGTATTTCAGGTGGTGGAAAGTGCTACAGAAATAAGAAAAGCTGGAAAGTGGCTAGTGAGGGTTGGGGGATGTTTGCAATGTAAACAGGGTAGTTGGAGAGGTGCTCCTGAACAGGGTGGCATCAAGGAAAACCCTGAAATAAGTAAGAGGGTGAGTTACTGAACTACCTGAGAAGGAGAGATTCAAACAGAAAGTAAGTGCAAATGTCCCGAGGACCACTGAAGAGGGCAGAGTAAACAATCATGGAGGAAATCTGTGTAAGATAGGGAAGATGGGATTTTATTCTAGGAGGTCTTTTTAGGTGACCCTCAATGATTTCAAGATTTTGGAGTTGTAACTTTAGATGGAAAGCCAATAGAGGTTTGAGCTGACTGATTTTTTAAAATGTATTTATTCTTTTTTCTTTTTAAATTTAAAATTTTTTTAAATTAAAAATAATTAGTGCATATATTCATACTAGGTACAATACATTTTGATACATATATACTTTGTGGAATGATAAAATCAGGCTAATTTAAAGTCTATTTTTTAGATATTTTGAAATATGCAATACATTTTTACTAACTATGTTGACGGACATTTTTAAAGGATCACTTTGTGGCTGAAATGTTCTTACATTTTGAACAGTGAATTTCTCGAGAGCTGAGAGCTCCTGTATGGCACTCTATGGTTGTATTCCCCTCTGCTCATGCTGGCTTCTCCCCATGTCTCCAGTCCAAGGCTGATTTCACCATAGTGCATGAATCCTGCGGTCTCATCCTACTGCGACGTGTTCATGAATGCTGTTATATTTCATTTTGTTACTTAACCCCACTTGACTTACAATGAGAACCCATAGGTTAGACTGTTGCCAACAAGAGCTCAAATAGCTGTTCTTGGCCTCAGATGCTAGGCCACACAGCTCCCAGCAGAAGGTGCTGGGAACCCTTTGAAGTCCTGGGGACTGACTTCCCTTTGTCCCTTGGTCATAGTCTAAGATATAAACCTCTCTATCTCTGATCTTATTTGTACTCTCACCCCACAATGCTCATTTTTTTTAAAACATAGAAAATATATAAGTAAAACAGATTATTTGCCTTTTTATTGACAATAATGTGCTATAATAGAAGGAATATGAGTTTTAAGTTAAAGAAGCTCAGATTAATATTCCTGGTCTTCCTTATGAGATGGTGTGACTTTGTGAAAGTTGACTACCCTGCTCATAATACTTTCGTATCTTTAAATTGCAGTAATGCAATTTTTTTTACTGACTAAAAAACATCCATTCTGTATTAGTTTTTAGAAGTAAGCTATAAAAACTGTTGTATGAGATGATCCAACTTTCATAGAATCTCATGTGTAAGACGTACACAAACTCATGGAAGATACCACCAAAATATTAACAGTGGCTATATTCAGGAGGTAGGTTTTACTTAATATATCTTTCTATATTGTTTAAATATGGTATACCAGGATGCATTATTTTTATAATAAAAAGAATAAACCTATTTACATTTTTGAAAAATAAAAACATAATCTTTAGAAAAAAATTGAAGCAATGATATTTGTATTATATAATATTTATGAGTGCTTAATCAGGTAACAAAAGAATGGTGGATATTGACCATTTTGCCCCATTGTCTTGATATCTGATCACTTTTATTTTGGTTATATCCACATGTATGAATGTTCATGGAGAGCAGAGGATTTTTTTATGAATAGTTTTTTAAAAATTTTGTTTATTTATTTATTTTTTAAAAAAATGTTGTGCTGGGGATTGAACCCAGTGCCTCATGAATACTAGGCAAGCACTCTACCACTGATCCACAACCCCAACCCTATAAATAATTTTTAAAAAATTTTAATTAATGGGCTCAGTGGTAGAGTGCTTGCCTAGCATGCATGAGGCACTGGGTTTGATTCTCAGCACCACATAAATGTAAAATAAAGATATTGTGTCCATCTAAAACTTAAGAATAAATATTAAAAATTTTTTTTTAAATTAGTGTCTTGTAGATGTACATGATGGTGACACTCACTGTTGTATATTTGTATATGTACATAGGAAAGTTAGGTCAGATTCATTCCAATGTTCTTTCCTTATCCCACCCCTACTTACTCCTCTTCAATCCCTTTCATCTACTCTACCCATCTTCTATTTTTTTATGACTGGCCCCCCCCATATTCTGGATAGGCTTCTGCATATAAGAGAAAACATTTGACCTTTGACTTTTTGGGACTGGTTTATTTCACTTAGCATGATAGTCTCCAGTTTCAACCATTTACCAGCAAGTAACATAATGCTGTTCTTCTTTATGGCTGAGTAATATTCTGTTATATCTATCTATCTATCTATCTCACATTTTCTTTCTTCATTCATCTGTTGAAGGGTACTTAGGTTGGTTCCATAACTTAGCTATTGAGAATTGAGCTGCTATAAACATTGATGTGGCTGCATTACCATAATATGTTGATTTTAAGTCCTTTGGATACATTCCAAAGAGTGGGATAACTAGGTTAAATGGTGTTCCATTTTTGTTTTCTTCAGGAATCTTCATACGGCTTTCTAGAGTGGTGATACTAATTTGTAGTCCCACAAACTATGTATGAGTATACCTTTTCCCCAACATCCTCACCAATATTTATTGTTTATTTTTGATAATTGCCATTCTGAAGTGAGATGAAATCTCAGTGTAGTTTTAATTTGCATTGCCCTGGTTGCTAGATATATTGAACATTTTCTCATATATTTGTTGATCCTTTTTATTTCCTCTTTTGAGAAATGTCAATTTAGTTCTTTTGCTTACTTATGGACTGGTTTAAATTGGTTTTTTTGTGTTAAGTTTTTTGAGTTCTTTTTATATTCTGGATATTAATGCTCTGAGGAGCAGGTGGCAAAGATTTTCTCCTGTTCTATAGGCTCTCTCTTCATGGTCTTGATTATTTCCTTTGCTGTGAAGAAACTTTGAATTTGATGTAACCCCTCCTGTTGATTTCCGATTTTATTTCTTGTGCTGTAGGAGTCTTGTTGAGGAAGTCATCTCCTGTGCTGACATGTTGGAGTGTTAAGTCTATATTTTCTTATAGCAGTTGCAGGATTTCTGCCCCAATTCCTAGGTCTTTGATCTACTTTGAGTTGGATCAAAGGCAAGATATAGGGGTTAAATTTCATTCTACTACATATGGATTTTCAGTTTTCCCAGCACCATTTGTTTAAAAAATGGCTATATTTTTTCCAGTGTATGTTATTGGCACCTTTGTCTAGTGTGAAGTAACTATGTTTATTTGGGTTTGTGTCTGTCTGCTGTTCTATTCCATTGGTTTTCATGCCAGTACCATGTTCTTTTTGTTACTATAGCTCTGTAGTATACTTTGAGATCTGGTATTGTGATGCCTCCTGCTTTATTCTCCTTGATAAAAATTGCTTTGGCTATTCCTGAGACTCTTTTCCAAATGAATTTCAGAATTGCACTTTCTAGTTCTGAGAAGAATGTCATTAGAGTTTTGATGGGAATTGCACTGAATCTGTATAGTGCTTTTGGTAGTATGGCCAGTTTGATAGTATTAACTCTGCCTATCCAAAAACATTTATTTTTTTTGGCAGATTCATCATTGGAGTATAGGAATGTGATTAATTCATGGGTGTTGATCTTGTATTCTGCTACTTTGCTGAATTCATTTATGAGTTCTATCTTTTGGTGGAGTTTTTTGATTTTCTAAATATATGATCATGTTGTCAGCATACAGAAATAATTTGAATACTCAGTGTTTTTGTTTTTTTTTTCCTCTTCCAACTCATCTTCCTAACTTCTTGTCTCTTTCCCCAACTTTTAAGATTCTGTGATATTCTTATTTTTGGCAAAACCCAAGCCCTGAATTAACTGACTCTCCTGTTTCCCCAGCACCTAGTCTGCTGGTGTGACTGGAATACAAACAACAGCTCTGAGAAAGGTGGTGGAATTTTCTGGTTTCAACCCCATCTGATCTCCCACATTAACACAGAATACCCCAACTTCTCAGTCAAGTTTTTCTCCCCAGTTCCTTCAAAATGCAATTCCAATCTCAAAATTTCCCTTCACTCACAACTTCTCACTGAAGCACCGTATCTGAATATGAACTTTGAGTTAGGTTCTGTTTCCAACTTATATCGGAGGAACTTGAGTCATACAGAGAGTACATTGCACAGCCAAGATTTGAATTATTTATTCCCATGCCGGAATTGGAGCTCTGCCATTATGTTATAGACAGGGTCATGCTTAGGAGATTAAAAGACAGTTGGGTGCTAGAAGAAAACATAGGTTCAACACTCCAACATATTGGTGCAGCCACTGACTTCTTCAACAAGACCCGTCCCTAAAGCTCATGAAATTAAACCAAGAATAAACAAATGGGATGATATCAAATGGAAAACTTCTTCATAGTAAGAGAAGATTAAGAGCATGAAGAGAGAATTTACAGAATGAGAGAAAATCTTTGCCAGCTACTCCGGTGACAGAATTAATATCCAGAATATATAAAGAACTCAAAAACCTCTGCATGGAAAAAAAATGTAACTCAATAAGTGGGCAAAAGAACTGAACAGATGCTTTTCAAAAGAAGAAACACAAATGACCAACAAATATATAAAAAAAGTTCAACTTCCCCAACAATCAGGGAAATGCAAATAAAAAAATACACTGAGACGAGGTAACTGCATTCAAAATGTCAATAATCAAGAATACAAATAATAATAAATGCTGGCAAGGATGTGGGAGAAAAAGTACACTTATACATTGTTGGTGGACTGCGAATTAGTACCATCACTCTGGAAAGCAGTATGGAGATTCCTCAAGACACTTGGAATAGAACCACCATATGACCTAGTTCTGTCCCTCCTTGGAATTTACCCAAAAGAACTAAAATCATGATATTATAGTGATACAGCCACATCACTGTTTATAGCAGCACAATTCACAGTCGCCAAGTTATGGAACCAGACTAGGTGCCCTTTGGCAGATGAATGAATTAAGAAAATGTGGTCTATATACAATGGAGTTTAACTCAGCCATAAAGAAGAATGAAATTATGGCATTTGCCAGTAAATAGATGAAAATGGAGAAACTCATGCTATGTGAAACAAGCCAGACTCAGGAAATTAAGGGTTGAACATTTTCTTTTATATGCAGAAGCTAGAGCAAAATAAAGGAAGAAAGCATTGGGAGTGGGTATTAGACATTATAAGAATAGAGGGAAGATCAGTGGAGTAGAAGAAGGTGACTGAGGGGGAGGGAAGAGAAACAGAAAAGCAGAGGAAATGCAGAACGATTTGACAAAATTATGCTATATGCATGCATACATATACCACAGTGAATTCCACCTTAATGTTTATCTATAAAATACCAATTAAAAATCAATAGATAAATAAATAGAAGATCAATTGAGTGGAGGAAGGGGAATGGGGTAGAGAAGTGGGGAGAAAAGGAGGAGGCACTGGGGACTGAAATGGAGCAAGTTAAATTTCATGCCTTTATAATTATGTCAAGACGGACCCAACTAGTATGTAAAACTATAATGAACTAATAAAAGTGTAAAAAAAGGGAAGAAAAATGTGGTGATTTTATTTTTTTAAAAAGGTCAGTTGGGCTTAGTGAGATTGAGAAACTCATGTGTTAACACTTTATTCACCCAATGTCATTTTCTAAGCAACTTGAGCGAGGGAGACTCAAGAAGGAACTTGAAATTAAGTCAACAGTGTATCTGAGAAACTCAAACGGATGCCACAATGTGTCTTGTAAAGTTTGTGCAATGCTCTGACCTTAAATGAGAGCCTTATTGCATGCTTACATCTAAAAGAACTCTTTGTTTTCTACAGTTAAAGCAGAGCTAAAAAGGGCAACTGAGATGGGGGAAAAGGTGTTAGAAATTGTGCCAGAGCAATAAACGATAACACTATCTTACAAGGAAAAAAGAAATAATGGTAATAAGGAGGCAGTTTCAAAAGTTCATTAAAGTATAGTGGTTTCTCCTAATGAATGTGGGAGAAAGGACCCCAGACATCTCATAATTGCTGATAGGAGATATCATACAACACATGACAAGATTTTATACTAGTGCTCTCTGTTAGCCTGGGGAGTTTTTTGTTTGCTTGTTTTTCATACAATCCTCTCCTTCTCCACAGGTACATATGTTCCCTAGCCGAAACTAGGTAGGGAGTAAGTAAAATTCCCATACTGGAATTTAGAGATAAGTCTGAGTAAAAGCTCTCTGGGTTACACTCACATTCTCTCTAGATTGAAAACCAATGGTCATAAGCTTACTGTCAAATTGTGAATACAAGGATTTCAAAGGTCATGACCGTGCTCTAAATTATGAAGCCAACATCAAAATATATCAAAGATGCTCTTGTTCAGTAAGGACGTCTGAAGCTCAGTTTTCAATATTCCTACAAACGTGGCTAAAAAAATGAAGTATTAATAATTACACTGGGAAACTTCATTTTTCAAAAAAAAATTCTGTTGGATTATTTGAAGTATTTCTGGATAATTCTGGTTAAGGCATATCACCAGAGCTGTACCAGGTTTTCTAGATAGGATTAGCAGTCATCCCCAAAAGAAGAAATCAGGATTAGCAGTCATCCCCAAAAGAAGAAATCGAAAGCAAAAGCAAGGGGTCCCACCTGTCTCTGGTCCCCCAGTTGGCTGGGAGCAATCAAAAAGTCCTTAATCTGTGAGCTTACAAAGTCCGTATCTTGGCAGGATGCTAAGGTGGTCCCCAAGGCTTTCCAAAGAAATTTCTGAAAAACAAAAGGAGAACAACAGGAGTGTAAAGGTTAGAAAGCCAGGTTGATGAAAAGTGGAAGGAATGGAAATTGTCATCCAAAGGAAAGAAACTGGGGTGACTTAACCACTGCTTAACAGTCATGCACCTCACATGCTATCTCTTCTTGAAGGTGTTTCTTTGCCCCAGGTCTGTCTTCCACTGATGCTCTTCTGATTACTCTACACCTTGGGCACCACCATTATAATGCCTTTCACTCTCTATTAGAATTTTTAAAATATTCTTCTTTGGTTCTGTGCTCAAATTTGGGTTCTTGGCAACCAAGTGTCTTATGCATTATTTCCAATGTACAATTCCTGGTAATAAAAGAGCATTTCACATATGCTCATTGGATAAACATGTTCAATGAAAAAAGGCTTATTTCAAAATTGGCTTTGATTTGTTTTCTAAGTTTCAAATAACTTATGGCTATATCACATCAAATGAGCATCTCTTTGTGTAGAATCTCCATCTTGTCAAGTGCAGGAGAGAAAACTGGCCAGTTGCTGGTATACTTCAAGGACTTTGCAAGACTTGCAGGATTATAGCTATCATGGTCATCATTAATCAGAGGGGAATCTATAGAACAGGGAGAAAGGTTGGTAGAAACAGGTGGAGGGAAATTAATGCGTTCAGTAGAAACTGTGTAGACCAGTCTGACCTGGGACAAGAGGGGGCATAGCTATTAAAAACAGGTGGAACTGTTGTTGCACTCTCAACTACCAGATGAGAATCTGTTTAGGTACCACCCACTTCGTTCCCGGGTATCCAGGAAAAAGGCTCTCCTGTGATAATAGAATTAGAATGAGGAAAACTGTGTACAACACAGAAGTAAACAACCGACAAGGGCAAACTTTCTTGTTTGTTTTTTTTTTTTTGATACTGAGGATTTAACCCAGGGGTGCTTTACCACTGAGCTACACCCCCAGCCATTTTTATTTCATTTTTTTTCCCTTTGAGACAGGGCTTTGCTAAGTTGCTGAGACTAGCCTCAAACTTGTGATCCTCCTTTCTCAGCCTCCCAAGTCACTGGAATTACAGGTGTGTGCCATTGCGCCCTACTAGGGGCAAAGTTTTTAGGGTCTATTTAACTTCATCTTGGGGGAAGGACTGGAAAGAACCTGGGAAAGTCTTGTGCTGTGGAAAAACACTGACACGATGAAGAGAAAAGTTGCTTCTCTGCTGGTTTTGGCCAAATGTATAATATATTCCCATACTGGAATTTAGAGATAAGTCTAAAAATATCAGGAACCCAGCATTGGAAGAAAAGGTGGTAGACTTCAAAAACAGCTACAATGTTTCTGCTCTACCTCTATCCATGCCATGTCTTTTTACTATGGGTGTTGCAACCCCTCATGAAAGGATTTTGTTTTCCTGATCCTTGTGTTAATCTTGTGTTTTACCAACAGAATGTGACAAAAATGATTGTGCCACTCCTGAACCTATATCTCAAGAGACTCTGCAAAGTTTGTTGTCACCCCCATGAAGGCCAGCCTCACCTGGCCTGCTGGACAATGAGACCACAGGAACAGAATCAACTGTCCTAATTGAGACCAGCACCTGCCAGGCAACCTCCTTGAGCCTAATTAAGATTAGAAGACCGCCCAGCTGAGCCTTGCCTAGACCCTCTCAAATTTTTCACCAACAAAATTGTGAACTGAATGGGTGGCTGTTATTTTAAGCCACTAAGAGTAGCTTCTTATACAGCAAAAGCTAACTGGTACACTCTTACTTTACTCTTGTTCAGCATAGGGCTGAAGGCTATGTAGACATCTCATTGCTAAAATTGCTCTGCCCACCTGTACCACCATTATTCTGGAGTAATCTTACAGTAATCTTGTAAGTCTGGAAACTACTGGATGAATGTATGACCTTAGGTGCACAGGGCAAATCTGTAACAAGAAGATGGAACATTGCTTACAAAATCTTTTTAATGTATCTGCAGGCTTGGTAGACCAATTTGGAGAATCAATACTCTGTACCAAATCAGAGAGTTGATCAGTGAGGGGAATTTCAAAAATCACATAGGAGAGTTGAAGGTTAATAATGAATAATTTGTAGGAAAAATACTTATTATTGGAACTGAAGAATTTTAAGAAATGTTTTTTCGGGAAAATAAAATTATGACTGATTTAGCATAATAATGACCATGATCAGCTTTTATATTAAGCACACCCTTACCTGTTCCAGGCACTTTACCAGGAACTTTCTATATGTTATCTACTGAATCCTCATGACACTACAACCCTCAGAGGTGGGGGCTGTTCCTATTTTAAAGATGAGTATGCTGAGGATCCAGAGAAATAAAACAGTTTCTCATGGGCTACATGAGGAGCAAGAAGCAGACACTGGATATGATCTGCACTTAAAATGGAAGGATGCCAATAAAGAAGAAGGACATTATGTCATTGGCAGGAAAATGATTGCAACTGGAGAACATCTTGCTAAGTGAAATAAGCCAGACTGAGAAAGTCAAGGGTCAAATGTTTTCTCTCACATGTGAACGCTATAAAGAAAAAATAGATCTTATGATAATGAAGGGTTAACAGTAAAGGGAAAGAAGGGAGAGGCAAGAGAAGAGAGAGGGGGGAAGTAATGGGGAATAAAATTGATCAAATGATATTATGTGCATGTATAAATATATTACAATGAATCCCACTATTATGCATAATTATAATGCATCAATATATTTTTTTAAAAAATAGAATGGAAGGCTACAAGGTGGAGGGTTACATAGAGGTCATTGGAGACATAGGGATGGAAAAACTGTCTTTTGAGCATTTTCTTACCTCTAAGCTTTTGTTAGTGTAGTGGATCATTTTTGGCAGCAAACCCCACAAGACTGGCATAATGGAAACCAGTACCTAAACTGACATGAAGCCACCAATGTGGTAGAGACTGCCACTCTTTTTTCCCTTCTAGAAGAGTACCCTTGACTCTTAGGCACATATCTATCTTGTCCCAGTCTTCCTTGCAGATAGGTGTGACCCTGTGAGCACACTTCAGCCAAAATTGAGGTGAAGAGAGGTAAATGGCCTTAAAAGGAGGGAACTACTTTTTCTAATCATTCCTCCCTCATTTTGATTGCAGTAAAAACAAGATGGAGCTTGAGAAGCATTTTGGACCATAAGGTACCTGCTTAGGTCCCTCAGCTGAAACACCAACCTTCTCAATGGAGGTATTGCTGTAACTGTCCATTTGCTGATTGAAATCCTGACTCAACTGGATGGTCCAGGCCGTGTCGTTGATTTTCCATAAAGATTCTTTGAGCAGCTGTTGTTGGAAGTGGAAGTGAGAGATGAGCGTGATGGTTTTATGTGCTTTGTTGGTACTTTTTTGTTGCCTTATCTTTTAAAAGAATAAAGGTGTATTAAATGGGACCTTTTCCTATAAAATAACTGGTGACTTGAGAACTTTTCCTCTTTATTTAAAAAAGCATTTTCTGATATGTTCTGAATTCTCTTTAAGAACAAAATACACAAAATATGAAAATAACTCTACGTTAGTGCCTTCCTTATTTTTCCCTTCAACAAAAACTTCTGAATGACTCAAAGTAGAAACTAACCCAATGTGAAATTTAAGTTGAAGCTAACGTTTTTCAAATTTTGATAGACTTGGAAAAACTTCATTTTGTCAATGTGAGTTTGGCTTATTATATATCAAAAATTTAAAAAAATCCATGAGAGAGATCTTTAGAATAAGAAATTAAATGCACTTAATAACCAATTAAATGTACAGGCACATCTCTGCCAACTTCCCCAGTGGTAAAGTAAATACTTCTGGATTCACCAATTGTTTGAGCCAGGGTTATATTCGGTCCTCTGAACCCTTGATATTTCATTCAACAACACATAAAAAGACATTTTTTTTGTTTTTGTTTTTGTCTTTTTGGAGGACAAAATCCATGAAATTTCTAAAATGTATGATTTCTCCTATATTTTTCCACTTCAAGGTTAGAAAAAGACACAATGTCAAAGCCAGTGAAAATGCTTATATGCATTATTTTTTAATAGGAGAGCATCCAATGGGTTCCTTAAAAGAAAGAAATTAAACAGACTTAGAAGATGAGGGGAAGAAGGCACAGGCACACAGTTTTGGAAAAAGAAGACTAGACCTATACTGAAGATAAGAGGAAGACAATGAACTGCTATGAAGGCTTCCTAACAGAGAAAGAAAATTTCTTTTGTTGTTTATCTAGTTGTTAAAAGGAGTAGATGTAACTTTATCCTATGTTAATATATAATATACCACAGTGGATCTAAGCATCAGGTACATCCACAAGAAATTAATTTAAAAAATGCTATGGTTAAATGGCAGAAGATTAGTAGAGGAAAAGGAACAGAAGATGGGAGAGGGAAGGAAAAGGGGAGGTACGGGGGGGGGGGGCTTGTTGAGAGCCACAGCCGAAGGGGCCACAGCCGAAGGGGCCCCAGCAAACTTCCAGCTGCCAGCAAACTTCCAGCTGCCGGCTGATGATTGGCTCACAGAGGAACTGGAACAAGACATATTCCATGTTTTCACAATTACGTCAAAATGGATTCTACTGTCATGTCTAACTAAAAAGAATGAATATAAAAAGAGGGGTAGCTACAGTTTATTTCCTCATTCATCTTTAACAATTCACCTAGAAGCCACCCTTACCTGAAGCAGCATGAGTTCCCACAGCACACTAGCATTGTTTCCTAGAAATAAAAATTGAAGCAATAACTGCAAACAAACTTGTCTCAAATTCTCCCCCACCAGGCCCCCAGTTGATGCTAGAACTCCATTTCAGGCTTTCTTCCTGCTCTGTGATGAAATTTACTATTTTTGCAACTTTAAAGTACTTGTTAGGTGAAGAGTGCGTATTTAATCCCTTAAACAAATCTAGGGGTTTTTTTTTGTTTTCTAATTTCAGCAGTAATTACTGAAATCACCGTATTTTGATACTCGAATGTGAATGAATAATGACTTTTTAGAAGAATATCAAAACAGAGTTTGTCTAGATATAAGAAAAAGGTCAGAGCAAAAGTAAGCCTTCCTGCAAAGCGTGTGCCCCACCAGGTCCTCTCACAGTATGAGCATTGGTAGAGAAATAAAACACGAGGAATTAAGGAAAAATACATAGATTGTTGTCTAACTTGCAATGCCAAGCTCAGAGTTGTAGCCTAAAATGAGCAACAACAGTTTCACACAGAGAAATGGTGCACCGTTTTTTTGTGTTCCCATCTCCTTAGTAAAGACGCTATCCAAGTACCTTCCAGAGGCTTCAGGAGCTCAGGTACTAGTGTTTTCCATAAGTCTACCAATTTGGGGTGAATTATCTCAGGCAGTGTCTTCAAAAGTCCTATTGCACCAGCTCCACGTAACGAACCTAGACTGGCAAGCACAGATATTACCTGAAGGATGAAAGAGATAAGTATTCATCAATTTTAGAGGTATTTAAAAGGTTCACCTACCTTTTCCTTTTTTTTTGTTCCAGATTCCCTTGATTCCTAAATTGGATAGTCACTTAACAAATCATCACAGTCCTTACTTATTCTACAGCAAAGATAATATTTAGACAATCCTCCCATTTTTTCCCCCTGATGATAATAAAGATGAAAAAAATACATGGAAGCCACACACACACACACACACAAATAAATAAATAAAAAGGAAGAAGAAAAGATAAATGGAAAGAATCAATACTCAGATCTATCTATTTATTAAGTAAATGAATGCATATGGAAACATGCTTGAGTAAATGATATATATGTGGCCAAAAAGATAGAAGGGAAGTCCATACAAATGGTGTGGGATTTGTTTGATGGTACTTCTGGATGAGATTCAGTCTATGAGTATTATAAAGTCATAAAGTTTGAAAAACATTTCAAAGTGAGGAAACAATCTTGCCAGTAGTTGCATATACCACATGTCTTTAGTATAGTAGAAATTTTGTTACTGAGATCATGTTAGTGTTTTTTTTTTTTTTTTTTTTTTTTGAGTATGTATGTAATTTGTTGTTGGGAAAGTGTCTCACTATGTTTGCCAAGGCTGGCTTTGAGCTTGCGATCCATCTTCCTGCCTCAACTTCATGAATAGCTGAAATTATAGGTATGTACCACCATGCCCAATGTTTACGCAATTTTTATTAGCATTGTATTTTGAACTGAATTATCCACAGCAACTGAAATTCGTCTTTTTAACTCACTTACCAGAAGTCTGGCCAGTAGCTGCTGTGGTGAAGGAAGGTTCACTAGAAAGAGAAAGCAATTTTCAATCATCACTGTAGGGGCCAGAGAAATTCAGACTGGGGTTGGGTGGAAGATCAGAGCACAGAAGACTTTCTGGAAATGAGTCTCTCCTAATAGCAAAACTTGGCTTTGTTTCTGAATGTACGAACCAGCTCCTGTAGAGAGGACGAGTGCCGATGACTCCTTCATATTATACTTCTTCCTCTCTTCTGCCATCATCAGAATTTGGATGATGTTGAACAGGTAGTCCAGGGTTCCTGTGTATTCTTCAGGCACCACAAAAGTCAGGATTCTTGGCCATAGGACCTGTGGAACACACAGGGCAAGATGAAAGGATCACTTATTCTTTTCTATGACTTCTTCCTAAGCCTCACTGAGGTCTCCTTCTGATTCAGAAACTTTCATTGGTTAAAATCTTGTGGTTCAGGACAGGTCAAAATGAAATAAGTTAGGTAAAATCCCTTTTATTTTCAGGTGCTAGTTGTAGTCAGTGTTGCTCAATGGTTCTTCCTGGAATTTGGGGCAGGACAATTCCTCATTGTCAGGGATGGTTGCAGGCCACCACAGGAAGTCTAATGTCCCAGGGTCCCCTTCACCAAGTTCCTGTCATCAGTGTGACAACTGAAAATGCCCCACATATTTCCCCAGGCTGCTCCAACTAAGAACCACTGGGAGAGGATAGGATATTCTTAGTGTTTCAGGCTCTCATCTTTCTGCTCTGAAGGTCTAGAATTGCTATAGTTTGTATAAATACTGTGTTTCATGCCCCATTCCCCTACCCAGGAAATCTCTCTTGTCATAATGGAGACCTTGGTGTCAACTTCGACTCTTCTTTCTTCCTTGTCGTCTGCATTTTATCACCAATTTGTCATTTTCATTGTAAAATCTTTCATGCCCTTCTATGTTTCATTCCTACTGTTACAATGCTGCCACAGTTCCAATTCCTACAGTTACAATGCTGTGAGTTGTGGCTGGTCTGTCACAAAGTCTCTTTGCTTAGACTACCTGTATCTTGGTCCATTAGTTTCCTACAACTATTATTTGCAGTGCTTAGGCTTTTGATTAAAATTTTCATTGGTTTGTTAAACAAAACACAAGGTAGGAGTTTGGCTTTCCAGGACCTTTAGAGTCTGGGACAGCCTTTATTTGTGGAGTCAAAAGTTTCAATCTTAGGATGCATTAGAAATATTGGAATGGATTTGATTGCAGACTCATGGGCCCCATGTTCAGATATACTGATTCAGCACATCTGGCATGTGGCCAGGATCTGCATTTTAAATGAATGTCCCAGATAACTCAAACCACACACCAACATGCATGGAGCCTATGATCCACTTAAATTGGGTGGTCTGTTAATTGTCTCCTTGGATGGGCTATGTACTTCTGGCTATGAAAATCTTTTCTCAGGCTATTTTGCTTAAGGAAAATGTAGATTCCAAGACTCCTCCCCCTAGGTGCAGATTAATTAGGTATTTGGTAAGGCTTCAGCATGGGTGACTTAACATCTTCCCAGATGAATCAGGAAAGTTTAGTGTCTATTGCATCATAGCTCCCATTCACTACTTAATACTATTTCTAGGTAGGTTCAGAGAGAAGAGAATATATATGCGCTTATAAAACTGTGCTGTACTATTCAGATATATGTAGCTATTATTAGTTACCTTAATTATTAAATTGATTTATTCAACTTCTGATTTTTGAGGAAACTCTATGTGCTGAACATAACAAGGTACATCCTCTAGTCAAAGCATCAAAAAGCTGATGACACAAACCCCTGTCTTTCATCCTGAGAGGGTAGAGCTTTGGGCGGGTGGTTGAAGTAACTGTAGCTATTGACGAGGGAACACTTACCTGGGGCATTCCAAAGGCAAGTGGATCCAGGTTTTTAAGGACCTTGAGACTTGTTTCTTGAACAGATTTCTCCCCAATTTCTTCCTCGTGGGAATTAGATTTCACTGTTTTTTCCTTTAATAAAGATGAAACAGGTGACAATAAGCCCTAATGTTGGTCCTTCTAACCTTAAGTAGATGTGTTTTCAGTTTCTGGAATGGGGATGTTGTCACTCAAGGAGCTCTGGATCCTGGTGATATTGTCTCCAACATCTAATCCCTATTTGAAAGGGCCCCTTGGAGGAATGGGTTGGAAAATACACCCCTGGATAAAATAGAAAAGTAAAAATTGTGAGGATCTTTGAGCAGAGGATATCCGCACCCCCAATCAGTTCTTTTTCATTTTCTCTGGGGCAAAAATTTTTAAAGCACTGCTTCCTAGTGGAGTAGATTGCAATTTAAGTTGTGATTTCTTCCTAAAATTGCTGATATATCTCAATTTTTTTTTTTTTTTTGTACCAGGGATTGAACTCAGGCGCACTTAACCACTGAGCCACATTCCCAGCCTTTTTTATTTTTTTATTTTGAGGCAGGGTCTTGCTAAGTTGCTTAGGGCCTTGTTAAGTTGCTGAGGCTGGCTTTGAACTTGTGATTCTCCTGCCTCAGTTTCCAGAGACACTGGGATAACAGGTGTATGCCACTTTGCCTTGACTTACACACAATTTTCATCTACAGAAAGTTGAGCCCTGTTGTTATGGTCTGAATGGTTGCGTTTCCCCAAAATTCATGTGTTGAAATCTTAATGCTCATGGTGATGGTATTAGGAGGAGTGGCACTTGGAAGGTGATTAGGTCATGAGGGCAGAGGCTTTGTGTTTGAAATTGATGGTCATGTGAAAGGAATCTTGGTGGGGTAGGTGGCTGTCCTATGTGTGGACATAGGGATAAGGCACCGTCTGTGAAGAAGCAAGCCCTCACCAGACATTGAATCTTGGATTTCTCATCATGCAGAACTGTGAGGAATAAAGGTTCGCAAGCCACACAGTTTATGTCATTTTTGCATTAGCTGACCAAATGGACTAAAACATTAGTGCATTTAGTATCAGTGTCTCTTGTTTTCTTAAAAACAGTCCACTCTCTCTGTGCCTCTCCACACCAACCCCATTCTCAAAATTAAGGATGCTGGTTGACTCCTCAGAGAAAACTGTGACTTAACCTCCCTTTTACTTGTTGACAGGAGTGAAAGGGAGCTGAGAATCCAGAGGCCGATAAAAATTCCCGAAAAATCACAATGAAATATAACTTTGAAATCAGTTATTTAATAGAGCCCAGTAATTTTTTTAAATCCCAGGTTTCAGTGTGACACTCAAAACTGAAGACCCCTCATACCAGTTTCTTGTTAGACTTTGCAAACTGGGAGAAGACATAATCAATCAAGGGCCATCCTTCCCGGGCTTCAATGTAGCACTTATCACACATGGTTTGGATGAGAAGAAGGGTGGATTTCCTCACCTAGAGTAGGAACAAGGCAATAGCAATACTTTAGTATGTTTAGAAGAATGGAGATGTACCTTATCATATAACCATTGTGAGTCATTCAAAGGTGGGAACCTTTTCAAAAGAGAATATAAAATGAGCTATATTTACAATAAATAAATGGAGTAGGAAACAATCTACAGAGTCACTGGAAATGCTCTCTTCAACCTAAATATTTTTCCCCAGATCCCAAAGACATATCCTTTATTGTAAAATGTTGGAAACTTGGGGCTGAAACACTGCCTCACTTTAAATATACTCAATGAAGAGTATTGTAGATTGAATTACAGGTCCTCAATTGTTTATTCACAATTCTAAAATCCAAAGAACCCTGAAAACTGGAATTTTGTTTTTTAAAATCATTTAGTGGCAAAATCCACATTAATCTCTTTTAAAGCTGTTTGTAGTCTTATGTGTAGTGTGGATATGTGTACATTGTATTGCAGAAATACCCACCGATTTAGATTTGGGGTTGCTATTACAATAATATCTTTCTATAATCTAAACAATTGTGAATTCTGAAATATATCTAGCCTTTAGAATTAGAGGGAGATATTATAAATTTGCGTTATAATATTTTTAGCAATATTTGGTTTAAATTCATTTATTTGATTGCTTCCCTGGAGGACAGAAACCTGAAGACCCAATCCTTGAGTGAATGGGTAATTTATTGCAGGGTGGGAAGTAAAAACTAATTTTTAACAGAAAAGCAGGGCTGCTTGATGGTCAAAGTATGAAGACACAGAATTACTCTCCATAGTAAAGCAAAAAAGATCCATCTTCTTTTTTTTTATTTGCCTAGGGAGCTGGCCTTTGAATGTATCCATACTTTTTTATTCTATTCCAAACTACTTTCATAGTTCTTCTGTTGGCTTCATTCATTACTGGAACACACACGCGCGCGCGCACACACACACACACACACACATATAAATATATAAATAAATGTATATGTATACATAATGGAGTGATATATATTTTTGCATGTTCATATTTTACTCCTTTATTATGTATTGCAAAGTTTTTGTTATTTTAAATAACAAAATATTCATTGAAGTCCAAAGCCTTTTAGAAGGTTTTTCTCCTCTTCTTTCTCCCCTTCTGCAAAGAGTTTGTTCTCAAGGTGTAGGTTTCATACAAAGACTACAATAACTGCTAATTTTCTTGATTTCTCCTAGCATAAGTTCTATATTTTCTGACTTTACTACTTTAATCAAATAATCAGGAAATATTGAGCAATCTATGGTGTGCAAGACTTGTTCTCAGTGCTCTCTGGATGGAAAAGAGGATATATAAGCTAAGAACAAGATTCAGGGTTTTTTTGGGGGAGGGAGGGGGAAACACATTATCTTTATAATTAACATTTATTTTTAAATATCTGAAGAGCATTGACATAGTGCTGCTCTGGGTGAGAGTCCATTGAAAGGACTCTTAGGGTTTTACCTTCATGGAGTTTATCTTTTTGGGATTGAGTTATTTTAAAAATGAAATTGATCATTGATCTCTTCTTAAAGCAGTCTCACAGTTGATTCTTTAAAAATTAGTGTTATTTCATCTATTCCTATAACTACCAATAACAAAGTAAAAGTTTCTATTAATTCTCTTACTTTTGTATTGGGGTCACCCATGACAACTTTGACTGTTCTTTCAATTGAAATGATGTGATCCCTCAACCTGGGTTCTGGAAGAAAAAGAAAGATTGTGAGGTCAGATCCAGTAGGAGTACAGTGTTTTTACGGTTGATGAAAACCTACTAGAATTATGGTACATGATTGTCTTTTGTCTTTAACATGTTATTCAATTATTTCCTACCCTTTTCTTTCCTAACTCTTTAAGGAGTCTGTGTCTGTCTTTACTTCCTACGACATTTGTTTCATCTTGTTTGAAGTGTTCGCTTCCATCAGGGATTCAATATGTCATTCCTGGTGGATCAGCTCTGAATTTTGTAAGACTACATTATGTTTTCTGATATGCTGATTCTTTAGTATAGTGCTAACTGTAATTTTTTAAAAAATCTATATTATGTTGTGCAAAAAATGAATTCTCATTTTATTGAATCACAGGTATCATCAATTTTATGATGCACTGTTATTTTATATTGCACCAAAAAAAGAAAAAAATAGTGGTTAACTAAAGATGTTTTAAAATGAAAGACTCGTTCAATATTATGAAAATACTGAATGCTTTTTTGAATTAATGAAATGTGGTAATTCATTAAATTACTCTCTATTTTAAAAGTACTAACATGTAGGGAATTGTACATTCCTCCTGCCTACCTGCTGTTTGTAATTGATTTTCTTAATCTACTTGCTGGATCTTCTAAAATTGAAATTTGATTTGAAAAACCTACTCATCTATTTCAACAGAATGTATCCAAAGTATCATGAAAGAAGAGAGGCAACTGAAAATGTCTGTTTAAAAGTAATGGACTGCTTAAGACTGAGAAGGCAGAGTTTAATGTGCATATGATGTTTTTCAGATAACTTAGGATAGAATTAATGGGATGCATAGGCATTAGTTTGCTTCTTGGTATGAAATAAACCACTCTGTATTGTCCCTAATGCTTACCCTCAGCACTGATGACTGATTTTAACAAAGTCAAGACTCCTATTCGAATAACTTCATTGTTACTTCTTATCTGTTCATCAAAAAATTCCATCAGGTCTGCTGCATTGGAATGGGCTGCAGGTTTAAGAAATACTGGGGTCATAAGAACTCATTTTCATCTCAGGTAAATGCTTCTGCATGGGAAGAAGTGAATTTTATCATGAGGATTGTCAAAGTCACTCTTCAGTTTGTAATTTGATTATATGATGTCCATGCTTCGTATTTCAGAATTACTTAAGCAGTTTGGTTACTAAGAACTTTCTATATCTAGTGGGTTCACTTATGTTAATACCTGTGAACATGGCCTTATTTGGAAATTAAGATCTTTGCAGATATAATCAAGTTAATAGAGGGTCCTTAGAGTGGGTCCTGGTTCAACATGACTGGCGTCCTTAGAAGAAGAGGAGAAGAGACACAGTTTTGGCCAGACGGAGGTATGGAAATGGAGGCAGACGGGAGTGATGTTTTGCCAGATGTGAAGCTAGAGGACTGCAGGCATTGAAGCAGGCCAAGTTGAGGAAATGCCTGGCTGGAGGAGAGCAGTTTGTTTCAGAAATTGTCAGAGATGAAATAAATTAGTTAATTAGGCCGAGGAGGAATGTATAGAGACAGAGGGGTTTGTCACAAGAGAAGTAGAACATAATAGAAAGGTATACAATGAAGTCAGTGTGGTGACATTTTGGATGGAGACTGGAGATGTGGGAGGCTTTAGACGGATGCTGCGCTTCATCCCCAGGAGCTGAGCTGGTGCAGAGTTTTGCATCCTGACCTGGGGACTTGATTTCTTCTGTGGCAGTCATTCCAACCAGGTGATGAAGGGGCTATGACGGTGCCATAAGGGCAAGAAGAAAAAGGAGAGTGAGGAGGTAGAGAAAGATTGAGGGCTAAAGAGGCTTGAACACAATGGGATGGCCAAAGGTGAAAAGGGGTGACTTTGGACTTGACAGTTTCTCATCATCTGAAATACCAAGAAAAAAATAGCCAATTTCCTATTCTTAGGGTTAGCAACTCTTCCTAGTTTCCCAGGGACTTCTATGGACTGAGAGCTGAAAATTCTCTATTCCCAGAACCCTGCCACCTTACCTATACCATCCCTCCTGGAAGCTTATGGGAGAGGGGCAGGCATAGAACTGTGAGCTGAAGAAACATTTTGTGTGTGTTATATGTGGTGATAACTAAAGTGACAATTTGCACACCCTCTTACCATTGTTGTTTTGGTCACCTGGGGACATTTTTTTTAATGCCCTCAGGATGCAGGATCCTACCTAGAATGAGGAAACAGTTTGAAGCTTCAACTTCATTTTCCTTTGCAGAAGGCTCTGGAATTCTGCAGAACTGAATGGGGAGGAAAAAAATCAGGTGATAGAAGTGAAAAACAGAAAACCAGTTAAAACCAAACAGAGTTGACAGCAGGGTCATCTTACCTGGTGAAGTAAATTGATAAAGATGGATTTTCTCAAGTTTCTGGGAAGGACAATGTCATACATGACTGCTGCAGCCAGTATCTCTTTTATACTCTAAAATGGAAGCGCTCACAGGTTAGGCGGAATCCACCAGAGATGCAGAGACCCAGGACATGGAATGCAAATAGGTAAAATTTATGAGGAGAACAACCCCATAACCTTCCCACAGTTACAGGTTTTCTTCAATGATTCAGGCTCCCTTCACCTTGTTCAGTGCCTCAGTATTTGGAATGAAATTTTTCAGTCCCTTCGCGGAGTTACCATCACTAGCTAAGACAACCTATCTCCACCTCCCATTTACCAAGTATTTAAGTTCAGCTGCCAAACAGGTCTTTAAGTTCCATAGGTCCTTTGAGACTCAATGTCCTCAGAAAGGTTGGAGATTGATTCTGATTCAGTTCCTTTAAGGTGTGGCTCTTACCTGAGTGATGTGGAAATCAATCTCTTGGTCTTTATACTGGTTCAGGAGCCAGTGTACCTGGTTTAGGGCAAATTCACAGAAGTCTTCTCGGTGTAGCAGCAGGCTCACAGTGGGGCCATGGACCTTTACTATGGCCAAAATCTGTAGAAGCAGCAAAATATACCATTTCTAATACATGATTATAATACTTATATATTTACTGGGTATAAGGAGCTTTAGGGGATCCCAATAATTTTTACTTGATGCTTTCAGGCAAGAAGAGGTTCTGTAAAAATCTTTTTAAAAAATGCATTGGTGAAGGCCACTGCATGAGGCAGAGCAGTATTTATATTTGCATCTGTATCTACATTGATACTCATTGTAATACGTGCCCTTCTTCCTATTTGTTGAATCTCTAAGTCACTTTCTTTTATATATTAATGAATTGAAAATTTCCTTCTTTTAAGAAATATTTAGTGACTGCACATCACCTTGATCCATTACTGTTAGCTCCACCCAGTTCCCCCTCTCTCTCTCCCTGTCTTGGAATAAAACTTTTTGAAGAAGTTTGATACATGTGCTATCTTCACTTCCCACCTCCCATTCACTTCTCCACTATGCTTTCCTCTCCATTTGACTATGAAAATGAACAACTTCCACAGTACAACCTATAAATGTAATAAATTTTGACTATAAAAATTTAGATATCACAAATATTTGGAAAAAGAAAACAATAGCCACAACAGCCATATATGACATGGTTTGGCATATATTATTTTTAAATTTTTTTAAAAAAATTGTTTCTTTTTAGTTATACATGACAGTAGAATTAATTTTGATAAAACTATGCAAGCATGGAATAATCTTATTCTAATTAGGACCCTATTCTTGAGGATGCACACTATGGTGGAATTCAATATGCTATATTCATATATGTACATAGGAAAATTATTATGTATTTGTTCCACTATCTTTCCTTTTCTATTCCCCCATCCCTTCCCTTCATTCCCCTTTGTCTAATCCAATGAACTTCTTTAATTCCCCTCCCCTGCCTCCTTTGTTATGAGTTAGCATCCAAATATTAGAGAGAATGTTCAACCTTTGGTTTTTTGGTGTTGGCTTATTTGACTTCTCATGATAGTCTCCAGTTCCATCCATTTACTGGCAAATGCCATAATTTCATTCTTATTTATGGATGAGTGATATTCCCACTGAGTATAAATACCACATTTTCTTTATCCATTCACCTGTTTAAGGGCACCTAGGTTGGTTCCATAGCTTAGCAAATATGAATTGAGTTGTTATCAACATTAATGTAGCTGTGCCACTGTAGTATGCTGATTTTAAATCCTTTAGATATATACTAAGAATTAGAATACCTGGATCAAATGGTGTTTCCACTTCTAGTTTTTTGAGGAATTGCCATACTGCTTTCCAGAGTAGTTGCACCAATTTGCAGTCTCACCAAAATTTTTTTTAGTGCACATTTTCCCCAACATCCTTGTCAACATTTATTGTTATTTGTTTTCTTAATAATGCCCATTCTGAATGGAGTGTGATGAAATATCAGTGTAGTTTTAATTTGCATTTCTCTAATTGCTATGTGTGTTGAATTTTTTTTTTCATATATTAGTTGACCATTTGTATTTCTTCTTCTGTGAAGTGTCTGTTCCATTCCTTAGCCCATTTATTGATTTTTTTCTTTTTTGTTTTTTTTGAGCTCTTTATATATCCTGGAAATTAATGTCCTATTTGAGGTGCAGATGACAAAGATTTTCTCCCATTCTGTAGGCCCTTTTTTCACATTCTTGGTTTCTTTACTGTGAAGAAGCTTTTCGGTTTGATGAATTCCAGTTTATTGATTATTAACTTTATTCCTTGTGATTTAGGAGTCATTGAGAAAGTCATTTCCTAAGCCAACATAGTGAAGAGTTGGCCCTATTTTTTTTTTCAGCAGCATTTGCAGGGTTTCTGGTGTAATTTCTAGGTCTTTGATCCACTTTGAGTTGAGTTTCATGCAAGGTGAGAGATAGGGGTTAAAATTTCATTCTGCCTCATATGGATTTCCAGTTTTTGCAGCACCATTTGTTGAGGAGGCTATTGTTTCTCCAATATATGTTTTTGGTACCTTTGTCTAGTATGAAGTAATTGTGTTTTTGTGGGTTTGTCTCTGTGCCTTCCATTCTGTTCCATTGATCTTCTTGTCTGTTTTGGTGTCAGTATCAGGCTGTTTTATTATTATAGTTCTGTAGTATAATTTGAGGTCTGGTATTGTGATGCCTTCTGCTTCACTTTTCTCCCTCAGGATTGCTTTGACCATTATTGGCCTCTTATTTTTTCAGATGAATTTCATGGCCACTTTTTCTATATCTATAAAGAATGTCATTGGAATTTTTATGGGGATTGCATTGAATCTGTATAGTGCTTTCACTATATGGTCGTTTTGACAGTATTGATTCTGCCTATCCAAGAACATGGGAGGTCTTTCCATCTTCTAAGGTCTTCCTAAATTTCTTTCTTTAGTGTTCTGTTCTTTTCATTGCAGAGGTCCTTTACTCCTTTTGATAGATTCCCCAATATTTTATTTTTTTGAGGCTATTGTGAATGGGATAATTTTCCTAATTTCTCTTTCAGTGGATTCATCACTGATGTATAGTAATGCATTTGATATCTGGGAGTTGATTTTATATCCTGTTACTTTGCTAAATTCATTTATTAGTTCCAGAAGTTTTGAGTGTAGTATTTTTGTATTTTATAAATATAGGATCATGTTGTTGGCAAATAATGATAGTTGGAGTTCTTCTTTTCCTATTAACACTCCTTTAATTTCTTTTATCTGTCTAATTGCTCTGGCTAGAGTTTCAAGACTAAGTTGAATAGAAGTAGTGAAAGAGAGCATCCATGTCTTGTTCCTATTTTTAGTGAGAATGCTTTCATTTTGTCTCTGGTTAGAATGACGTTGGACTTGGGTTATTTCTTCGATCCCTATTTTTTTCTAGTGTTTTAAACATGAATGTATGCTGTATTTTGTCACATGCTCTTTCTGCACCTATTGAGATAACACATGATTCTTTTCTTGAAGCCTATTCATGTGATGAATTCCATTAATTGATTGCTGTATGAACCAACCCTGCAACCCTGGGATGAAACCAGTTGATTATGGTGCACTATCTTTTAAATGTGTTTTTATATGGGATTTGCCAGGATTTTATCAGGAATTTTTGCATCTATGTTCATTAAGGATATTGGTCTGAAGTTTTCTTTCCTTGATGTGTCTTTGTCTAGAGTTTAATATGCTTTTTAAAAATTTTTACCTATTCTTTCCTTTTTTTATGTATTTTAATTAAAATGCCTTACACTATTTTTTCAATTTTTATTACAAATGTTAACTCCTATTAATTGTACAAATCAATGGATTTCACTGCAACATTTCTATAGATACACATATGACATTTTAATCATATCCCGCTTCCCCACTACTCCTTCTTCCCTCCCCATCCTCTCCAGTCCTTAATAGTTCCTCTTCTACTTTCAGGTCATATTTTCTTTCTTTCTTTTCTTCTTCTTTTAATTTTCCACATATACTGAAAACATGCTACTTGTCTTTCTGTGTCTGGTTTATTTCATTTAGCATGATGACCTCCAGTTCCATCCATTTTCCTGCAAATGAAATGATTTCATTCTTTAGGACCGAACAACATTCTATCATAAATGTTTACTATATTTTAAAAAAATTCATTCACCTTTAATGAGCACCTAGGCTGAGTATGAAATGTTAATATTGTAAACAGTGCCACAATAAAGATAGGTATGCAGGTATCTCTTTAGTGTGCTGATTTCATTTTGGGGGGTGTATACCCTGGAGTGGTATAGCTGAATTGTATGGTAGTTCTAGTTTTAGTTTTTGTGAGAAACCTCTGTACCTTTTTTTCCCATAGTGGTTATATACTTTATCTAAGGATTCCTTTTTCTCCATATTATTTCTAGCATTTTTTTTTCTTTCGATAATAGCCTTGCTGACTGGGGTGAGGTGGACCCTCAGTATAGTTTTGATTTGCATTTCCCTGATGGCTAAAGATGTTAAGCATTTTCCCCCATATTATTATTGTCTATTTGTACTTCTTTTGAGAAGTGTCTGTTCAGACTGCTTTTAAACTGGATTAGAGTTCTTTTGATGTTTTTTGTCCTTTGTGTATTCTGGATATTAACTCTCCGTCAGATAAATAACAAACGAAGGTTCTCTCCTACTCTGTAGTCTGTCTCTTCACTCTGTTGATTGTTTCCTTTGCTGTGCGGAACCTTTTTAATTTGATGTAATTGCATTTGTCAATTCTTGCCTTTATTTCCTGAACTATTTCTTGAGTTCAAGATAGGGAATTGTTGCCTGTGCTTGTATCTTAAGGTGTTTTTCCTATGCTTTCCTCTAGTGGCCTTGCAGTTTCAGATCTTATGTTAGGTTTTTGATCCATTTTCATTAATTTTTGTACAGGATGAGAAATGGGGATCTAGTTTCAACCTACTAAGGATGGATATTCACTTTCCCCAATATCACTTGTTGAAGAGGCTATCTTTTTTCCAACACAAGGTTTGGACATCTTTGTCAAGAATCATATTGCTGTATATGTGAGAGTTTATTTCTGGGTTGTCCATTTTATTCCATTGGCTGTGCCTATTTTTATGCCAATTCCATGCTGTTTTTGTTACTATGGCTCTGCAGTATATTTTGAAATCCAGGAATTGTGATGCTTTCAGCCTTATTCTTTTTTTTTTTTTTTTTTTTTTTGCTAAGGATTGCTTTGGCTATTTGGGATCTGTTGTGGTTCCAAATAAACTTTAGAATTTTTTTTTTTAGTTTTGTGAATAATGACATTGATATTTTAATGAGTGTTTCATTGAATCTGTAGACTACTTTGGTAGTATGGCCACTGTAGCAATGTTATTTCTCCTAATCCATAATCATGGGAGGTCTTTCCATCTTCTAATGCCTACTTTGATTTCTTTCTTCAGTGTTTTACCATTTTCACTGTAGAAATTTTTCACTTCCTTGGATAGGTTTACTCCTAGGTACTTTATGTTTTTGAGGCATTCCAAATGATATTGACTTCCTGATTTCTTTCTCAGAGGTTTCATTGTGAAACAGCATTCTTTTTTGTTTTTTAATCTTTCACTTCTATTTATTTTTTGATTTTCCCCAATTTCCTTAAGCTGTTTAGCTTCTTTTTTAAATTTATTTTTTAAAATTTTAATTTGTTATATATACAATTCTTACCTAACTATATAGTTCTATAGTCTACTATTTCTAGCTAATATTATATGATAATTTTTTTTTGTTTGGGCTGAATTTTGTTGCAAGCAGACCAGCTCAAAACAATGACCATTTATTCTATTCAAGACAAGATCAAGCTGGGCATGGTAGTGCATGACTATAATTCCAGCAATTGGAAGGCTAAGGCAAGAGGATTGCAAATTTAGAGCCATCCTCAGCAACAATGAGACCCTAAGTAACTTAATGAGATCCCATCTATAAATAAATAAATAAATAAATAAATAAATAAATAAATAAATAGGCTGGGGATGTGGCTCAGTGGTTAATTTCCCCTGGGTTCAATCTTGTATACAAAAGATTGCATCAGGTAGGTGGTGGCTCTTCTACCAAGCATTTCTATGCAACAGGTACTTTTCAAGACTTTTCTTGATTGAGCACTCTAATGATGGACTCTGTAGAACTTTATTCTTCTTAAAAATTTTTCTTTCTTTGTTTCTAAGATTTCAACTTACTTTGTTCTCCTACTCCTCCAGTACAATCCTCAAATTCCTGTCATGAGTCCTTCCTTTGCTTTCCCGCAGAACTCTATTTTTTGGCACTTTCCACTCTCCATATTTTCCTTGTATAGCTCTATCTGAAACAATGACACTAATATCTATGCAACCAGTTTTTGTTTTTCCTTTTTAACTCCAACCTGAATATCCCCTAACTTACTAATATCTCCACCTCAATGAACCAGAGACATTCAAGTTGGAATGTCTACATTAATCCATGTTGTACTGTCCCAGATTTGTTCTTCCACCCATTTCCTTTATCTAAATTCATGGCACCAAGACCACTGATCCCAGAAATCTAGGAAACACACTAGGTGTCTTCTTCAGAGTCTGACTTCATTCATCAAGACCACCGACACTACATTAATTGATCCTTTTACCATGTATGACCTTGCCTTAATTCATCCCTATTCTGAATCTGTCTTTAACACTGACATTACAAAGTGGGAGCCCATGGTTTTGGGGCGATGCAGAGCGGCTGATGGCGGCCTCTGCAATGGTGTCCGGGTGTCGGGCAGAGGTGGCCGCAGCGCAAGAATTTAACGCTCTCAGAAGTATACTGTGGAACCAAAGAAGGCAAAACCACCAAGGGTCATCTGAAATTGTACTTGGCTCACTGATAATCCCCGGACAAAATTAGAGATCACTACTCAAGCATAAGCTGACCCCCCAGTGTTCCTAAGACTGCTACAAAGATGTTTGACATAAAGGCTTGGGCTGAGTATATTGTGGAATGGGCTGCAAAAGACCCATATGGGTTCCTTACAACAGTTATTTTGGCCCTTACTCCACTGTTCCTAGCAAGTGCTGTACTGTCCTGGAAATTGGCCAAGATGATTGAAGCCAGGGAGAAGGAACAAAAGAAGAAACAAAAATGTCAAGAGAATATTGCAAAAGCTAAACGACTCAAAAAGGACTGAAGGAATGTATAGGCTCTGCAACCAGAGAAAAATCATTTGGAAAATTATGCAGCTTTGGAAGGACTCACTAAGGTTTCTTTGGATTTCATGATAGTATTATTTAGAATGAAATCTGATCATGTAGAAGAATCATGTTTTGACCTCCATACTGTAGTTTTAGGATTGGGTACCGAAGTTTGTAGGTATCTACTGGCAGTTATAAATAAGCATACATACAGGTTGAGCATCCCTAATCAGAAAATCTCAAACTTGGAATGCTCCAAAATCCAAATTTTTTTTGTGCACAAACATGATGCCACAAGTGGAAAATTGCAGTCAAAACACAAGTATGCTAAAAATATATAAAAATACCACATAAAATTACTTTCAGGCTATACGAAACAAATGAATTTTGTGTTTAGACTAAGGTTCTGTCCTCAACACATCTCATCATGTATATGCAAATATTTCAAAATCTGAAAAAAAATCAAACACTTCTGGTCCCAGACATTTCAGATAAGGGATACCCAACTTGCAATACAAATTCTTCATAGGTGATTAAGTTATTTGACATTTTGCAGCTTTTGTACTGAAATGATTATGGAGAAATGAGTTTAGATTGTGAACTTTATTCAAATAGTGGCTTAAAATGGGATCCTGTTCTGAACAAAATATGTTAAGAATATAAGACAAATTATCCTTTCTGAGGTGAAAAGTTTGTTCTTAAAGGAGATACAGTATATTAATCACATCTTTTATCATTATTGCTTATTCCTTGGAATGTACTCATTTTTGGATTTCTCAAAGTAAAATAGTATTAATGAGTATACAAGTCTGTTTTCTTCATTTTTTTTTCTGATTTTAGCCTTTAAGACAACTGGCAATTATCAAGACATTCTCATTTTTAAAACCTAATTTTATAAAGAATTTTCTTGATTATGTAGAATACTGTCTTCTGGTTATAACAGTCTTTGTACTTATGAACATTGCCATTTTCTTAAGAGATGTGTTGTTGAGAAGAATGACACTATGATTTAAAGCTTGTAGTAAAAAGGCCAAATACTGTAGTATCTTGGAACCATTTTATTTTTGTGTTATATAAAACAGTGAAACAGTTAAAAAGTTTTATCAGGTAATTTGTTGGTTATATAGATGGCACTTTTGGTTTTATTCCATTCTTTAACTCATAGGTAGTGATGTCCTGTACTTTTTGATCCAAAAAGTTTGAGGTAAAAATTGAAATTTCATATTTTTTAATAGAGTTAACAGCTAAGCCATAACTTCTTCAATGGTAAGAAAGGCTTAAAATTTGGGAAGATTTTGTCGGGTATAGTAATAATTGTACAAATAGAATAAAATTGTATTCAAAATGAGAATAGTGTAATTCAAAGTACAGAGCTAAAGGATCTCTCCTTAAGTAGTATAACTGGAACTTTGACTATTAAACATGGCTTTTCTAAATGCATGGTCCAGTAATTTTATTCATTGTATTTAATAGCTTATTAATGTTTCTGCACCTCTGAGAATGAATATTAAGTAATTGTCCAACAGCTCTCATTTTAAAATGAAACCAGATAATGAAATAAATTTGATACTTTTATAAGAAAAAAAAAACACTGACATTACAATGATTTTTACCCCTAATATTCTAATCCTTGATTTAAAAACTTAAATGTTTCTCATTTCTTGAAAAAAGTCCCCGTTCCTGGGTAACATGTCAGTCTTTTCACAGTGTGGCTGGACCACCTTTCTGGTTTCATTTCTTTCTGCCTTAGATCTCCTGTCTTCCCTCCAGCTCCCTTTCTGTTCTCACCAAAGTAGGCATCTTTCCCCATCTGCCGCCTTTATTTTGTGGTTCCCTCTTGGAGGAATGTACCTTCCCTGTGGTGGGTAACCTCGTGGGCTGCAAGGCCCAGTTCCAATGCTTTGCTTCACCAGGGGAGACAAGTGTCTTCCCTCTGTGTTCCCTTATCACTTTGTGTACCCTCTTCTTCATTTGCCTGGCTCTTCCTATGGGAAGCAAAGGGAATGGCCATCAAATGGACCCACTGAATCCTGTTTTGCAGATGTCTTCAAGAAAAGGTTTCTACAGAATATTTGAAAAGTTTCATGTCTGCTACTGACTTAACCAATGCAGGTTGTTAAAAAAAAGTAAATGCTCTTATAACTTAAAGCATAGAAAAGAAACTGAACTCGAGAATGTAGCTCAGTATCAAACTTTTTAATAATATAATAATAGAGGGACCTAAATTCAATATGATTTAGCTTACTTAAAAATTATAGCAATTTAGCAAGATAAAAGATGGGATTATATATGTGAATGCACTTTGTAATCTATTCTCTATAGGGCATTCTGGTATTTTGACACAGCCTGATACATTGTTCAGATATTATTTTATTTAATCATGATGTTCATAGACACTGGATATTTCTGCAGCCTGTTGTTTTCCCAGTTAGTAACTCGGCTCAAATGTGGGTTATGATATATAAGATGTGAGACAGTTCACATTCTCTCTATTTTACTCATTTCTTCTCTTTATACTTTGAAATATCAGTTTCACAAGAGCATTGTTTGGGTTTGTTTAATCCTTGCTACATCCTCACTGGAATATTAACTGGCATACCGTGGGGATTCAATAAATACTAGATGAAAGAATGACTAAATGGTGATTTGAAACAGATGGAAACAATGAAAGATCTGATAAACCTAAAAAAAAAAATCCCAATAGTGCAATAGTGTCCAAAAAAACAGAGCTCAATTTCCATGTTACAAAAAAAGAGGAGTTTCAAAAAGTTCTATGCTTGATAATGATTCAACTACACTAGGATGTTAAAAAAAATACCTTAATAGGTTAAAGTTTAGAAAAGAAACAGAACTAGAGAAGGTAGCCAAGTATTTGACCTTTTATATTTTACCACAGAGCAACCTAAATAGGATACAACTTAAACCTAGATTGAAATCAAGCCAGAGGGAAATCCATCTTGGCGCCCTCAGAGGCTCCACTCACTTGTGCATGGGAGGCCATGGGGGCCCATTTTTCCATTATGTACCGGAAAAGCATGAAGATTTTGTCAGACAGTCGGTTGGCATCCATTCTGGGATAGGGGAAGTCTTTCCAGTGGTTGACATACTTGTAAATGGCCTTGCTGAACTTCTCAAGGGCTGCATTTTAAAAAAAAGAATCCACATAGAATAGGCATAGTCAGTGCATTTTCAATTTGTATTTTCCATTTTAGTTTATTAGGACATAACCCCATCATAAGTCAAAGAATTTCTGTATTCCAAATGGGGATTTATAATACAAGTCCAGAATTCAAGACAACAGAAAAAAAAAGGGAATCCACTTCAACTCAAGGGACCGTTTTGCAGCCAATTTAAGAAAGTATAAGTGCAAATTAAACAGAATAAAAATATAACCACAGAGAAAAATATAAGAAAGGGAAGAACTATGATGATTAACAAATATATTATAGTTTATATACAATCTTACAACTGCACAAAATAAACATATAAAAAGTGTTCAGTCAAGTTAGTAAAATACAAATTGAAACGGTATGAGACATGACAACACACCATACAGAATTGATATTATTTAATATAGTCAATGCCAAAGATTGATTGGTCTGAGGTGTAGCTGGTATTCTTACTTATTACTGGTGAGAGTTGAATTGGTATAAACACTTTGGAAAACTCTTTGGCACTATATATCAAAGGTGAATATGCATTCTAGATGACCCATCAATTCTAATCTGCAGATGAAGTCATTTTATATGTATATAAAATAAAAAATACATATACCAAATATATATATATATA